ATGCAGTTTTAGAGCTAATGAATATCATCACTGCTCTGTTTCTGAGTAGTCTGTAGGCAAAATGAGTGTTCTTTCTCCCTCCAAAAGTAACAAAATTATGTTTTTTTTTTTAAAAAAGTGTTCAGGGTGTAAAAATAATAATCAAGCAAGGAAAGATCAGTGAGCCAAGTTTTGTGGATTAATTCCAAGTTCTAAGGGTAAGAAAGAAAACAGACGCACAGGGCATTCATTCATTCATTTATTCACTCATTCATTCATTCTTTCTTTCTTTCTTTCATTCTCTCTGCCCATCAGTCTATCTGGCCATTTGTCTGTCAGCTGGTCATCACTCAGTCCACAACTACCTTCTAAATATTCCACACAACAGTCAGACTTAGGCTGTACTGATCAAGGACTTGGTCCCTGCCCTCACTGCCCTCATAGTCTAGCCTCATAGTTTACTCATTTGTAAAATGGCAATAAGTGAGAATAGCTGACATGAAGTGTCCATAAGTGCCAGGCATCATGCTGCAGTGCTGCAGGCTGAGCCTCTGTGCACTCAATAAGCTGGACTGTGTGGTGCTGGGCCTGACAGCACCACAGAGCACCTGCTGCAGGCAGCTGTGCAGACAGGGTTGGCCCCTTCTCTAGGTCTGGTTCCTGCTTTTTCCCTTTATTCCTTTCCTCCGCTGCATCCTCACTGAGACCCAGCCATGCCCATCATGTGTTCTTCAGTGCACCACAGACTCCCACACCCTCATTCTGTGTTCAGATTCCCTTGCCTGGCAGGTCCTCCAGCCCCACCTGGAAGGCTTTTGCTCATTCTTTAAGTTGCTCAAGTGGCATGGCTTGGGGACTCTCCACTTCATGCTGAGTATTCTGAGCCCCTGCTACTGCACGGGGCCTGTCTCATTGTGCTGCACTCTGCAACCACCTGTCTACCTTGCACAATGGCAAGCAATAGAGACCATGTGACATCTTTTTTCTCCAAATCCCCAGCCTGGGCACATCAAGGAAACATCAACTCCTACTTCCTGAGTCCATGTGTGAAGCATTTTATGCTCTTTGTCTCATAGAATTTAACTCTCACAACATCTACAAGGGAAGGCTTATCTCCATATTATGGAGGCACAGGGTGGGAATAACTGGCCCAAAGTCAGGCCCAGGATTACTGGCTTCAAAGATGGTAAATATGTGTTGAAATGCTTTTTTTTTTTTGAAGCAAGATCTGCCTAGTACGACAAGCCAAAAAAAAAAAAAAAAAAAAAGGAGAGCGAGATGGTCTTCAGTATACTCTCAGTAGCTCCAGACTCAAGTACACACTTCACTCCCAGGGAGTTCCAGCCTGAAAAATAGGCAGTGTGTGTGCGTGTGAGCTTAAAACAATTAGAAGATGCTTATTCTTTTCTTTCAACAAATATTTGTGTCTCTACAAATATCCCCATGCTAGGTGTCAGGTGGATTGTGGGTGGGGAGGAGAAGGGAAGGAACAAAGAAATCAGGGCCATGATATTGTGATCTAATAAGAAATGCACATTTTGTTTCATCCCTTGTTCCTGACACAGATCTCCTAAAACTTTTGTAATTTCTGGAGAGATGCTAGAAGCATTCTTTGTTCTAAATTTGCTCTTTGAGCCTAGTTCCTGACACAGAGCTCCTAAACCTCTTGCAATTTCCTGGGTGTTGGAGCATCTTTTGTTCTAATAAGGCAACTCCTAGTGGGCACCTGGACAGCTTCAGGATGGGGGCTGGTCATCAGAAATGCCAAGTCATGCTTAGAAGCTCAGAGCTTTTATGCCCTCCCTGAAACCCCCACCATCCTCCAGGAAGGAGAGGGGAGTTACAGATTGAGTTAATAATTGATCATGCCTATGTGAAGAAGCCTCTATAAAAATCCCTAAAATATGTGGTTCAGAGAGCTTCCAGATTGGTGAACACATCCTTGTACTGGGTGGGGTGGTGCACACCAACTCCAGATGGACAGAAGCTCCCATGCTCAGAACCTTTCTGGACCTCAGCCAGTATGTCTTTATCTGGCTGTTTATCTGTATTCTTAATTATTTCCAGTAAACATTTAAGTGTGTCCCTGAGTACTGTGAGCTGTTATAGCAAATTACTGAACTTAAGGAGAGGGTCATGGGAATTCCTAAATTATAGACAAATTAGGCAAAACTGTGGGTAGACCAGGAACAGTGTCTCACACATGTAATTCCAGCATTTGGGGAGGGTGTGTTGGGAGGATGACTTGAGGCCAGGAGTTTGAGACAAGCCTGGGCAACACAGTAAGATCCCCATCTCTACCAAAAATAAATTAGCCAGATATAGCTACTTGGGAGGCTGAGGAGGGAAGAATCCTTGAGCCAAGGAGTGAGCTGTGATTGTGCCACTGTACTCCAGCTTGGGTGACAGTGAGACCCTGTCTCAATAATAAAACTAGTGGGGGTAACCTAGAGAACTACTATTTGTGACTGGCATCCAAAGCTGGGGGAAGATTTATGGAACTGAGGCCTTAATCTGTGGAGTCTGCATGTACTCCAGGTAGCCAGTGTCAGAATGAATTAAATTGTAGAGCAGGGGTCCCCCGTCCCCAGGCCACAGATCGTACCAGACCGTGGCCTGTTAGGAACCAGGCCACACAGCAAGAGGTGAGCAGTATCACTGCCTGAGTTCCTGTCAGATCAGCGGCACCATTAGATTCTCATGGGAGCATGAACCCTATTGTGAACTGCACATGTGAGGGATCTAGGTTGTCTAATGACTGATGATCTGCGGTGGAACAGTTTCATCCAGGAACCATCCCCCCTACCTTGACCCCCTGACTCCCAACACCACCATGGAAAAATTGTCTTCCACAAAACCATTCCCTAGTGCCAAAAAGGTTGAAGGCTACTGTTGTAGAGCACCCCATTAATGTCCACAGAGAATTAGAGAACTGCTTGTTATGGAGAAGCCACACATCTGGTGTCAGAAGTATTGTGAGCAGAGGACATAGCATTTGCCTTTTAGGCCCTCTGCCCTAGGTTGCTTAGGAGCTACTGGGTGCAGAGCTCTGTGAGGCAGTGTGCCTGGGGGGCTGGCATTCCAGCAGGGACTGTGTCTTCTCTAACAGTGTGGGGTCATTTCTGCATTGCTGGGTGGTCCTGGGCAGCATAGGTGAGCATGACAGGCCAGACCACTGGACAGCAGACAAGGTCGATTGTTCTAGGTGGTATTTCCAGGGCTCAGCATTGACCCTGGGGAAATATGGCCTCCCATAATGAGCACTGGAGCCAGGACGGAGAGATGAGGGTTAGGATGACAAGAGGCACACAGGAGGGTCTCTGTGCAGGGAGGCTATAAAGGCCTGGGGATAAGAGAACCTTGGGCCTATCTGCCCATGAACTGTGAGAAAGGGAAAGACCCATGGGAGCCCAGAGGACCAGGAGCCTACAGGGGGTTCTGAGTGAGCCCTCAGGCTGAGTCACTTGTTAAGGCTAGTTTCTGAGCTCAGGGCCCCCAGCAATGCCCCAACCCCCCACTATGTGGGCTGCCCCTGCCTGCAGGGCCACTTCAGACTGAACCCCCCACCTGCTGACCTAACCTGCTTACTCTACCCCTGAATCCCTGGGCTGTGTTCCCAGCTACTGCCAGCCTGCTGATTGAAGGGACAGCCACTCCTGGAGATGCAGATGGAAACTAACCCCCTGACAGGGCCCTCCTTAGCTAAGGAGAGTCACATTGAACCATTGCCCCAGCTGCCTTGGGGAACCTCAGTTACTGGCCAGCTTTACCCTACACCGGCTATTATTTTATTCTCCATTCCCTTTCTTTTCCATGTTGACCCCATGCAACATCCCCAAAGGAATGAAGCAGACATGCCCCACCTACCACCATTGTCAGGGGCACATCTTCACTCAGACACCTAAAAGAAATGATCACACTGGCTTTCAGATGGATAAACACCATGGATCACATGGGAGAGTCCCTCAGGCTCTGCCCTCAGCTCTGCCTCTTATGTAGGCTCAGCCCATCTTCACCATTGCCCCTCTGTACAATCTGTTAGCTCCACACTAAGGGAATTGGCTTTCCAGAAGTTTATCCTTCCCTTTTTATTTTCTACAGCTGCCCTCAACCCATTTTCTACTGAAGCTAAAACTCTTCATCTTCCACTTCATGTTCAGAGGTGCTGTTTTTAGGCAAATATTTAATGAAGTTCAGCATGAAATTCAGACCAAAAGCCAACAGGGGCTCCCTCCTCCCATTCTCTTCTGGGGTGTGGTCTGGAGTTCCAGGAGCTGCTGCCTCTGGCCCACACTGGAATGAAACGCATAGCAGGTCCTGCAGTCCTGCCATGCCACTGCATCCCAGGCCCACAGCCTCATGCTGCTTGCCCTGTTCTCAGACACCCAACTTGAGTTCACTTTGTCACAGGCTCTGGACCCCTGCATGGGTGCGAAAACCTGCAGAATCCCGTAGGGCCTCTGTTCTCACAATTGCACAAAAATCCAGCTGCTCTCAGAGCCCCCCTCAACTCCCCCAAATGTTCATATTGGGATTTCTCACACCTTGTGCTTCTCACCACACAATCCACTCTGAGACTGGGGCTGGGGGCACACCAGGAAGTCTCTGAATGTTCCGCCTGCTGGGTCTTCACCAGGGGTTGGAAATCCTCTAGGTCATTTCCTGTGTTCTCCCCAAGGGATTCAAATATTGGAGCAGAGCTTTGATTGTCTGAACCTTCAGTGGCCCTTTCCCACTCTGTCTGCCAAGTTTTGGTGGACTACCTTTGCCTCACCAAGTTTCATGACACGTATTGCCTGCCTCCACGGGCCAGCCATTTTACAAACATGACCTCTATCAGTCCTGGCAGCATCATATGAGGGAGACACACAAGACTACAGGCTGGTAAGGAAGGAACCCGGAGTCACCGCTAGTTGGGATTTCCATTTGACTCTGAAGCATGTTTTCTGCCCACCCCACAGTGCTCCCCCAGTGTGTCCCATATCGTAGGGACCCACAGGGCTGCCGGCCTTGGGGTTCACCATTCCTCCGGTGCACTTGCGGCAGTCCTGCAGGCAGTGGATGTTCTCCCAGGTGCTGTAGGCCTTCAGCCCTGTCACCAGAACCTGCAGCGAGCGACTGCTGATCAACTCCTTTCCCTGGAAGACATCCTCATCCAGGAGGGCCCCAGCATGCCTGTGGGACAAAGCAACCAAAAGTCTCCACCACAGCATTCTCTCCTCTGCTTTCTGTCCAAGTTTACTTTTCTTCCAGTTCATTTATAGGCCTCACCACTCACACTGACATCTGTCTAGGCACCCCTTGACCCAGCCAAAAGTGGGCACTATGCTCAACTCTCCTCTTCTTTTGGTTTACACACATAGGATCATGTTCCAAATTATTTTCTTTTATCCAGACACAAAAAGTTTCACGTGCCTCTTGTATTTGTAACATTTTAATTCCACTTCCATCGGAAATTCTGCACCTTACAACAATACAGTATACCTCAATTCCACTACCCCATCCACTTTGGTACTGTTGAGATTTTATATATAAAGATATGTGTGTGTGTGTGTATATATTATATATATATCAACACAGATCTTCTACATGTGTTATAAACCTCATTGCTACTTTTGCTTTAAATAATTTATATTTTTCCCTAATCAACATTGTTGAGGAATAATAAAATAATGACATTTATTCAAAGTGCACCACTTGAAGAGTTTTGACAACAATACATACCAAGGAGAATAGTATTGCAATCAAGCTACAAAATGCCTTATGCCTTTTTGCAGTCCATTCCTTTCTTTACTCTCACCCCAAGGCAACCACTGATCTGTTCTTTGCTACTATTGATGAGACATATTTTATGTAAATGGAATGGCAGATTATGTGTTGTGTCTTGCTCCTTTCAATCAGCATGCTGTTTTGAAATTCATCGACATTACAATATGTATTTATAGTTGTTGCTTTTTATTGCTAGTAGTAATCTAGTCTATGTAACACACTCATCACATTCATTTATGCATTCACTTGTTGATGAGCATTTTGGTTGTTTTCAGTTTGGGACTATTGCAAATAAAACTGTTATAAAAATTAATGTACAATTCTTAGAGGAAATACATGTCTTCATTTTTCTTGAGTAAATATGTTGAAGTTAAATGTCTCAATCATATGGTAGATACATTTTGAACTTTTTAAGAGACTGCCAAATAATTTTCCAAAGTGGTTATGCAATTTTACATCCTTATCAGCAGTGTATAAAAATTCTAGTTCTTCTACATTCCTGCCAAAAATTGGTCTTTACAGTGTTTTAAATGTTAGTCATTCTAGTGTGTGTGTAATGGTATCTCCTTATGGTTTGAATTTGCATCTGGAAAATGTAAATATAATTTTCTGTTTCATAGGATTGTTGGGAAAACGGAGGCTCAAGTGAGGTAAACATACCTCAGTCAAGGTCCCACATGCATGAGGGCAGAGGTAGAATTTAAACCCAGGGCTCTCTATTCCTAAATAGCATGCTCTTTTCATTATAAATAATGTTCCTGTCAGTGCCCTAAGCAAGTTTGTGGCATTTTTTTTTTTGAGACAGAGTCTCATTGTGTCACCAGGCACCAGGCTGGAGTGCAGTGGCATGATCTCAGCTCATGGCAACCTCTGCCTCCCAGGATCAAGCAATTCTCCTGCCTCAGCCTCCTGAGTAGCTGGGAATACAGGTGCACACCACCATGCCCAGCTAATTTTTTGTATTTTTTAGTAGAGACAGGGTTTCATCATGCTGGCCAAGATGGTCTTGATCTCTTCACCTCATGATCCACCTGCCTCAGCCTCCCAAAGTGCTGGGATTACAGGTGTGAGTTTGTGGCATTTTTATCTATGCTATAGTATCATCACCCATGCTCCAGGCTGTGACTATAACACAATGACTCTCAGAGAATCTCATAAATGGGCATTTTTAAAAATGTATACATAATTCCCCACTAATATCTCCAGTCTCTCACACACCCATCTCTCCCCATTCCCCAGGGATGGAAATAGGTGGAAAATAAACAATAAATAGTCTGTAAGAAAAGGATTGTGAGAAACCACAGACAAGCTTCCAACTTCCAGGTGGAGAGGTGTACCAGTGGCTCTTGCTCTTTGTTGTACCCTTATGTTTGTTTAACAAAGGAGTCTGGGAAGTCTTCCATGTTCAGTGTGTTTTAGAGTACAGGAGGAGCATGTCTTAGGAAATTCTCATATAAGAAACCCATGGTGGCCCAAAAGACAAATTAGGAAATAGAAATTCTTGAGACAAAATTATTTCTCATTTCTAAACATGTTTATTTAGATGATGTCTCAAGAAATGAAAGGTATTTGTTTATGGGTTGCATCCACTCAAAGAACAGGTTAAACAAAGTATTAGAACTGTACTAGTCTGTTTTTACACACTGATAAAGACATACCTGAGACTGGGTAATTTATAAAGCAAAGAAGTTTAATGGACTCACAGTTTCACATAGCTGGGATGGACTCAAAATCATGGTGGGAGGCAAAGGCATGTTTTACATGGTAGCAGGTAAGAGAGAATGAAACCCAAATGAAAGGGGAAACCCCTTATAAAACAATCAGATCTCATGGGTGTGGTTTTTTCTCTATACTGTTTTTGTGGTAGTGAATAAGTCTCACTACCACAAGAACAGTACAGGAAAAAGCAACCCCATGATTCAATTAGCCCCCACTGGGTCTCTCCCATAACGTGGGAATTATGAGAGCTAAAATTCAAGATGAGATTTGGGTGTGTACACAGCCAAACTATCATTCCACTCTTGGCCCCTCCCAAGTCTCATGTCCTCACATTTATAAACTAATCATGCCTTCCCAACAGTCTCCCAAAGTCTTAAGTCATTTCAGCATTACCTCAAAAGCTCCCAGTCCAAAGTCTCATCTCAGACAAAGCAAAGCAAAGCAAGTCCCTTCTGCCTATGGGCCTGTAAAATCAAAAGCAAGTTAGTTACTTCCAAGATACAATGGGGGTACAGGCATTGGGTAAATATAGCTGTTTCAAATGGGAGAAATTGGCTAAAACAAAGAGACTACAGGTCCCATGCAAGTTCAAAATCCAGTGGGGCGGTCAAATCTTAAAGCTCCAAAATGGTCTCCTGTGACTCCATGTCTCACATCCAGGTCGCACTGATGCAAGAGGTGGGTTCCCATGGTCTTTGGTAGCTCCATCCTTCTGGCTTTGTAGGGTACAGCTCCCACTCCCAGCCGCTTTCACAGGCTGGCAGTGAGTATGGCTTTTCCAGGTACATGGTGCAAGCTGTCAGTGGATCTACCATTATGGGGTCTGGAGGATGGTGGCCATCTTCTCAAAGCTCCAGTAGGCAGTATCCCAGTGGGGACTCTGTGTCAGGGCTTCAACCCCACATTTCCCTTTCACACTACCCTAGCAAAGGTTCTCCTTGAGGGTCCTGCCCATGCAGCAAACTTATGCCTGAACATCCAGACATTTCCATACATCTTCTGAAAGCTAGGCAGAGGTTCCCAAACCTCAATTCTCGAGTTCTGTGCAACTGTAGGCTCACCACCACATGGAAGCAGCCAAGGCTTAGGATTTACACTCTTTGAAGCCATTTCTCCAGAGGTACCTTGGCCCTTTTTAGCCATGCTAGAGCAGCTGGGATGCAGGGCACAAAGTCTGTAGGCTGCACACAGCAGGAGGACCCTGAGCCTGGCCCACGAAACCATTTTTTCCCTCCTAGGCCTCCCAGCTTGTGATAGGACGGGCTGCTGCAAGGTCTCTGACATGCTCTGGAAACATTTTCCCCATTGTCTTGAGGATAAGCATTTGGTTCCTCATTACTTATGCAAATTTCTGTAGCAGGCTTGAATTTCTCCTCAGAAAATGGGTTTTTCTTTTCTATTGCATCTTCAGGCTATAAATTTTCTGAACAATTATACTGTTTACCTTTTAAAACAGAGTGCTCTTTACAGCACCCAAATCACATCTTGAATGCTTTGCTGCTTAGAAATTTCTTCTGCTAGATACCCTAAATCATCTCCCTCAAGTTCAAAGTTCTACAGATCTTTAGGGCAGGGGCAAAATGCCACCAGTCTCTTCGCTAAAGCATAGAAAGAGTCACCTTTATTTCAGTTCCCAGTAAGTTCCTCATCTCCATCTGAGTCCACCTCAGCCTGGATTTTATTGTCTCTATCATTGTTAGAATTTTTGTCAAAGCTTTTTAAGAAGTCTCTAGGAAGTTCCAAACTTTCCCCCATTTTCCTTTCTTCTTCTGAGCTTTCCAAACTGTTCCACCCTCTGCCTGTTACCCAGTTCCATAGTCATTGGATGTGTTTCCAGCAGCATGACATTCTATTGGTACCAATTTACTCTACTAGTCAATTTTCATGCCACTGATAAAGACATACCCAAGACTAGATAATTTATAAAGAAAAACAGGTTTAATGGACTCACAGTTCCATGTGGCTGGGGAGGCCTCACAATCATGGTGGGAGGTGAAAAGCATATCTTACATGGTGGCAGGTAACAAGAAAATGGAAGACAAGTGAAAGGGGTTTTCCCTTATAAAACCATCAGATCTTGTGAGATTTATTCACTACCATAGTATGGGGGAAACTTCCCCCATGATTCAATTATATCCCACTGGATCACTCCCACAACACATGGGAATTATGGGAGCTACAGTTCAAGATGAGATTTGGGTGGGGACACAGCCAAACAATATCAAGAACCCACCATCATGTAAGATTCATGAGAAATGTCACAATATATCTAAAACCACAAAGTCAATGAGATGGCAGTATTCTATTTATCAAAGTTTATTTTGCATAAACAGACCAAACAAGGCTTTTTTTCAATAAGCTATTAGAATCATATTTTTTAAAAAAATCTAGTGCACAGATTGCAGTATCCATTTGATGGGTAATGTCTCAGGTGCTTAACTATCCTGAACTTCATTTTTTTTGACAAAGAGAAGACTTGGTGTGTTTCTGCAAATTGTGAAGGATTCTTACACTCATTAATTTATTAAATAAATATTCATAAAGTCTAACTTTGTGCAAGGCACCATGACATTACAGGTGCTATTTAAACATCAATCAAAAAACAAAGAGAGAAAATCTCTGTCCTGCTGATTTGTCTTGAGACATTAAATGAGTTACTACACATGAAATATTAGGACCGTGCTGGT